AAGTGAAAGATATAAAAACTGTCACTTTACTTTTGAAAGAATATACACAAAAAAAAGAACAAACAAAAGATTTTGAACCATGGGTAGATGATATTGAATATTATCGTCAACGACAACATTTGAAACGGCAAAATGTCGAAGAAATTCTTCCATTAAATATTTTACAATTGTCCTATGAACAAGCAATGCAAGCAGAAAGAAAATTTCGTTCTATTCAATAAAATCAACGTAATACTCGATCATAAAATTAACAGCAATAAAAACTCGAGGTTAATAGCAAAAATTTTTAAATAAATATCAGCAGAAAGTAAAACAAGAACAAGATAAACCTAACTTAAATTGCTCAACAAGAAATCTCAGTATCAGAGTAACAATCAACTGAACAAAATAATTTGCATATTCGTATGGAATTATTCCTTTAACGATTACAAGTGAAAGAACAAGGAAAACACCAGTGTCAAGCACATGTGATTACACATCAGTAACAACAACAACAATAGTTCATAAATCCAGTTGAAAACACTTCGATACCAGACGATGTTCTATGTTTTAAACAAGACAAGTAAACTTTTTTTAAATCTGTACTATTTTAGGGTAATTTTTACTGTTTTCTGAATAAACTAGTATGATCTGTTTTTCTTTTTGTCTCATCTTCTAGAACTGACGTCTACGAACCGTGCACTATGGTGTGGTTCAGTATAAAGTAGAAAAAATGCAGGATCTATTTTCTAAATTTTCTAACCATTTATCTCTATATATAAACGAGTAGCCATATGAATGTGCGATTTTTAGTCTTCTTCTCTCATTTTTTTTGTTTTATTTGTTATAAAACACTTTCTTTTCTTCATATCACTAATTATGAACACACTGTTAATTTTCTTGTTGTTCTTTATTTGAACAGTTCTTTTTTCTTTGTTAAAATGAGCACAGTAAGATCTGTATTGCTTGTATTCTTGTTGTTTTGGACAAACGAAAGTATTTGTTCAATCACTCTCCTGTATTATTGTTGTTTTTAATTTTCAAACTAGAACAAATTACTGTTTTGATAATAAAAAATGATGTTCTCTCTTACAAGTGTTCTTCAAAGGTTAGCATAAAAGTCGCTTTTTTATTGGAAGACATAAGGAATTTTACATACCATTTTTTCTACCCGTTATGTGGATCACATGAGTCCCACTATCGATACTTTCAAATGTTAAACCAGTACAAGGATCGTATAGTAATGGTTCGCTTGAACCAAGAAACCTGACATCTTTAATACCAAAATATGCCATAATAACTGAAACTGATGTTCTGGATTTAACATTATAAATAGCTGCTGATGTTTCATCTAAATTCTTTTCGTCATGATACACCAGTTTAAGTTTATCGAGTTGTTGTGTCATTGTAAGAGTATCTATATCTAGAAATGTAGTTCTTAGTATAGAACCCAGCATTTACTAAAACTGAACAGTCGAGACATTACTACGTCTAGTTTAGTGTTCAGACACAAACATTCGATACACCTAGATGACCTTTATATATGCGGAGGATAAAAAGCAACATATTACTATAAGATCTCAAGACGACCAAGGATGAGAATTAAAGAATGAAAATTAGTGAAACGTCTCTTGAATCAATACACGTTTATTATTTCTGGCTCATCTGTAAGTTTGCTGCTTTGCCGTTCTTCATTATAAACTAGTGATCAATTATTATTGTACCGAGATCACTAAGTCAGTAAAAGAACAATGAAAGCATCGTATGAAAGCATCAAACTTTATTCTTAAAAGTTGAAAAAATCAACCACAACGATCTAAGGGTTATCACAGCGATAACTTAACAATCAAAACTACTTGAAAACAACAATCTTTTTGTAAAACGATTTTTTATAATAAACGACTTAAGTTATTTATCATTTAAAATTTGCTTTTCATTGCCTCGATAGCAAGCTATCAACTATCTGAAGATTAGATTTTTCATGTTAAAGAAGTGTACATGATATTTCTCTTTTCGTCTCTCTCAGACGAAAACAAGACCAAGGAAAGAAGAAAAATCCAAAAACAAAACTAACGTTTATTAACCAAAAAATGACGCAACAAAAAGCTTTCAAGATATGCATACAAAAAGAACTTAAAACATAAGAAAAAAATTAATTATTCTTCACGTTGAATATAAACACCGGGTATTAATCTGCATAATCAAAACAAAAATTGTAAGTTCACAACTGTTACATTCTAAGCAAATTTACGAGACTTTTCAAAATCCAAATATTTGTTCCCAACTTTTCCTAGCCAACCAGACAAACATCCGATTGTTATCATCACAATTTTAAAAATTATTGGATACTTTGTTGGCCATGATTTTTTTTATGTAATTCTAAAATTTTGATACGAGAAAATATCAGATTTGCCTGTTAAGGAGTAATAAAAATAGAAAAAGTAATACTTACTGTCACCGATGATATGGATAACACGTGTATTGATATCAACAGACAGATCTGATAGGCCACTACTCATCAGAACTCCGTATGGACTGGACTGAGTCCATAGTCCAGCCCAGTCC